TGGTGAATATGGAAATAATCCCAAATTCCATGAGAATTCGCTGGGAATGATCCTGAGCTCGGTGGGAACTAAGTGGGAATGCTCCCAAATTCCATGGGAGTGAAATGGGAATGGTCCCAAATCCCATGGGAACTCTCCTGAATTCCATGGAACGATCCCAAATTCCATGGGAATGATCCCCAGTTCCCTGAAACTGTCCCCAGTTCCTGGGAATGATCTGGAATTCCCTGGGAATGATCCCCAATTCCCTGGAACTGTCCTGAATTCCCAGGGAACGATCCAGAATTCCCTGGGCTCTCTCTGGAATTCCCTGGTAATGATCCCAGAATTCCCAGGCCATATTCCCGGAATTCCATGACAGTATTCCCGAATTCCCAGGCCGTATTCCCGGAATTCCATGACAATATTCCCAGAATTCCATGACAATGATCCCGGAATTCCCAGGCCATATTCCCGGAATTCCCAGGGCAATGATCCCAGAATTCCATGACAATGATCCCAGAATTCCCAGGCCATATTCCCATAATTCCCAGGCCGTATTCCCGGAATTCCCAGGCAGTATTCCCAGAATTCCCAGGCCGTATTCCCAGAATTCCCAGGCCGTATTCCCAGAATTCCCAGGCCGTATTCCCGGGATTCCCAGGCCGTATTCCCGGAATTCCCAGGCCGTATTCCCGGGATTCCCAGGCCGTATTCCCATAATTCCCAGGCCGTATTCCCGGGATTCCCAGGCAGTATTCCCATAATTCCCAGGCCGTATTCCCGGAATTCCATGACAGTATTCCCATAATTCCCAGGCCGTATTCCCGGGATTCCCAGGCCGTATTCCCGGGATCATTCCCGCGTGTTCCCGCAGGGTTCGAGGGCTATGGCTTCGGTTACGGCTACAGCCACGAGAGCTCCTACGGCTACGGCCCCGCCCCCAATTCCTGGGATTTGGGCAACTCCGAGCCCGAGGGGGGCCCCGAGGGCGGCGACGGCCCCGGGAAGCAGCGGGGGGAGCCGGGAGCCGGGAACCACCCCGAGCCTGCCGGGATCCCGGGCCGCGCCTACGGCCCCGCGGGGGACAGGTGGGGACACCGGGACACGGGGGGACAGGTGGGGACA